GACGCGAACGACGAAGAAGGAGGAAGGACGGCGACGCCGACGACGACAACGACGAGGGAGGAGGGAAGACGACGACGACGACACGACGACGAAGACGACGACGACGACGGCGACGAAATAGGAGGGACGACGACGAGACGCCGACGACGGAAGACGACGACGACGAGGGAGGAGGATAACGACGAGGGAGGAGTGAAGACCACGACGACGACGACGACGACGACGGCGACGAAATAGGAGGGACAACGACGAGATGCCGACGAAGACGACAAGGGAGGAAGGACGACCACGGCGACAACGACGACGGAAGCGACGACGACCCCAAGACGACGACGACGACGAGGAAAGACAGAAGACGACGACGGCGACGACGACGACGACGAGGGAGGAGGGAGGACGACGACGACGACGACGACGACGCAAGAGCGCGCGCGCACGCTTTTGTTGAAAACCCGTGTTGCGAAACCTAGTGTTTTCTGTAGGTTTTTTGGGCACACGATTTGGGAATCCTTCCGAAACCGAGAGTTTTTGAAGGATTTCGGCATACGCGCGGGACTTCGCGCGCGTCTGCACTTCGTCCCGTTTTCTGCAGAGGACTCTCGCGACGGCACAAGCGCAAGGGCGTTCGACAGATTTCGACATGCGCGCGCGAAGTCCGTTTGGTAGCATTTTGTGAAAATCTTGAAAAACCTATGGTTGTCTTAAGATTTCGCAAGAGCTCGCGCGTAAACAGTATTAGCAAATCAGTGTTGCAATACCCGGTGTGTTTGTATGTTTTTTGGAAATGCAATTTTGAAATCTCTCCGGAACCGCAGGTGTTTGAAGGATTTCGGCATGCGCGCGCGACGACGCGCGCGTGCGCACTTCGTCCCATTTGTTGCAAGGGATTCGCGAAACAAATCTTATATCAGAGCAAAAAATGTTACCGCATACTGATCTTTTACTATGGAACCTCAGGGGGGGAACCCGGTTTGGCTGGGATGGTACGATTTCATATTTAGCATGGACGAGCGTGCAGAATATGTATGTCATACTATCCCAGGGGGACCCGACAAGTCCGGGGGAGGGGAGGGGGGTAGAATCTATTAATATTTCAGAAAAAGGAGAATCCATGGTGTCCACTTCGCCAATGCCCGCAATAAATGTCCAGCTCCGCTGCTCGCGCAATCGTCCCACCCACCCGCTCGTAACATGGTTTGCAAAACCCATACGGCGGCGATTGCGATAAGTGCTGGCGTTGGCTGGCGCACCTCTGCGGCCGCGCTAGCCCGCGCATGCTCGCGCGCGCAACGGCCAGCTAGTGCGGCGCGACCGACGCGGCCCCGGTGGCGCTGACCGCTGGGCACTTCCCAGCGGGCACTTCTGTGCGAGTCGGTGACTTGGGCGGGCGCGGAATCATGGCGACGCCGACAACGGTAGACACGATGATGGGAGTAGCGATGACAGTGACGATGGTGGCGATGACGACGGCAAGGCCAATGACGGCGACGGTGTGGACCACGCGCGCCGATCACGATGATGATGTCCTTGCATCGGCGAGGAAAGGTTTTGGAATGAGTTCGACATGCGCGCGCGGCCGTCGCACGCGAGAGGCCCGCGTGGTGTTATTCGACTCGGGTCGTACCCTCCCAGCACGCGCGCAAGGGCGTTCGCACGAGCTCGACATGCGGCGCGAGAGGCCCTCTTGGCAGAATTGGATGGCACTTAAAAAAAACGCAAGAGCGCGCGCGCAAGCTATTCTTGAGAACTGATGTTGCCTAATTAAATGAATGTACATGTTAGCGGGACACTCATTATTCAAATCCCTATGCATCCAATAGTTTTGACAGATTCCGGCATGCGCGCGCGACGACGTGCGCGCGTGCACTTCGCCCCGTTTTCTGTAAAGGACTATTGCGACAGCGCGCGCGCAAGGGCGTTCGAACGATTCCGACATGCACGCGCGAGAGGCCCGTTTGGTAGCATTCTGATGAAAGTGTTGGAAACCCTACAGTGTTCTGAAGATTCAGCAAGTGCGCGAGCGCAGTTTGTTTTGAACATCCTTGTTGCGAAACCATGTGTTCTGTGTGCTTACGTGACACTCGATGCTGACATCCTTACGGGAACTAAGGTTGTTGGAAAAAAGTTCCAGCATGCGCGCGCGACGACGCCCGCGTGTGCACTTCGTCCTGTCTGTTGCAAGGGATTCTTGAAAACGCATGATGTTTGATGAACGGGTGCCCGCGTAGTATTTGTTGCAGAGGATGGAAGGGGGGATACCGGCCTGCCTGGGACGATCTGAGTTCATATGTCGGATGGACGATATTTGACCATCATGTTTAAATGTGAATACGAAAAGGTGAGCGGTTAAGCTGGAGGGGAGATCCGAATACTCTTTTAAAACAGAGAATCCAACCGCCAGACCAACATTCAGGCCGAGGTCTTTAGAAAAGAAATGAGAACTCCTAAGTGCAAGCACTACTTGGGAAAGCAATGCAAATGAGGGGCACCCGGATCCCACATAATCTACCATACAAACCATGTCTGTTGTTATCTCTTGTTTTTGTTACTCTGGCAAGGCACCTCCCCCTGTTGGAGACGTTCTTGTCAGGACCTAAGAGGAGCAAACTTGGACGAAGGGTTTACTGCAGTTTCGTTGCTGCGGCTTGGACTTGCACTGGTCCTCCTCCTCCTCCTCCTCCCTCCTCCCTCCTCCTCCTCCTCCTCCTCCTCCTCCTCCTCCTCCTCCTCCTCCTAAACCTCATGTGCTCCTCCTCCTAAACCTCACGTGCTCCTTCCTGCCACCTTCCCTCCCTGCAGCCCGTCCCCGGGCCCCTCCCCGGAGGTGGTCCATCCCGGCCCGCCGTCCTCACCCGCGCCCCCCCGCCGTGGCGACGAGGCCCCGCCCCCCCCGCCTCCCAGGGCGACGAGACCTGTGCGCATCCGGTGCCCCTGGCCAGGCCCTCCCGGCCAGGGCCGAGGAGCGCTGCATACGCCCTCCTGGAGGAGGAGGAGGAGGAGGAGGAGGAGGAGGAGGAGGAGGAGGAGGAGGACGGACGACGAGACGAGAAGGAGAGGAGGAGGAGGAGGACAGGAGAGGAGGAGGAGGAGGACGAGGAGGAGGAGGAGGAGGAGGAGGAGGAGGGAGGAGGAGGAGGAGGAGGAGGAGGCTTGGCCAGGGAGGCAGGTGCACCGGTCCCGAGCCCCGGATGGGCTCGGCCTGTGGCGGCAGATATGTGCAGGTCTCGTCGCCCACGGTCCCGAGGTGCCGGCAAGAAGCTGCAGGAGAGCGAGGAGCATGCAGTCTGTGGGGAAAACAACACACAGTCTGTGGGGAAATTCTCCCGGCAAAGCAACCTAACAGCGATGTGTAGGAGCATATCTGGAAGCATTCCCCTTAAGATTCAGATGAGAATCCAGTTGTAGAATTCTGCTGTTCTCGCAGTCGTAGTCGCATTCGCGATGACAGTCGCAGTGGCAACGGCAGTCACAGTCACAGCCTCTGCCTCAGCCTGCCTCAGCCTCAGCCTCAGCCTGCCTCAGCCTCAGCCTGCCTCAGCCTCAGCCTCAGCCTGCTTCAGCCTCAGCCTCAGTCTGCCTTCAGCCTCGGTGTCAGCCTCAGGCTGCCTCAGCCTCAGCCTGCATCAGCCTCAGCCTCAGCCTCAGCCTGCCTCAGCATCAGCCTGCCTCAGCCTCAGCCTCAGCCTGCCTCAGCCTGCCTGCTTCAGCCTCAGCCTCAGTCTGCCTTCAGCCTCGGCCTCTGCCTCAGCCTCAGCCTGCCTCAGCCTCAGCATCAGCCTGCCTCAGCATCAAAATGTGGCCCGGGAATGGAGTTCTGGGAACGAAGAACACGAAGTGACCTACAGTTGGCTCCGGGCATTCATAATGTGGCCGGAATGGAGTTCTGAGAACTCGAAGACCACGAAGTGGCCTACAGTGGTTCCGGGCATCCAAAAATGTGGCCCGGGAATGGAGTTCTGGGAAACTCGGAAGACCAGAAGTGGCCTACAGTTGGCTCCGGGCATCCAAAATGTGGCCCGGGAATGGAGTTCTGGGAAGTCGAAGAGCACGAAGTGGCCTACAGGTGGGCTCCGTGCATTCAGATGTGCCCGGGAATGGAGTTCTGGGAGGTCGAAGAGCACGAAGTGTGATGTCCTGCTGCATCCGGTTATTCAGAATGTGGCCTGGGAATGGAGTTCTGGGAGGTCGAAGAGCACGAAGTGTGTGACTGTTGGTGAAAAACGAGCCCGGCACAGGCCCGGCCCGGCAACTCCCAACGCCTGCCCGGACCCCCCTGTGGAGTGATCTGTGAGCTCTTTTGAGTCAACTAGAAACCTATCAGTCTTCGCTGTTAGGTAAAAACACACACACACACTGTGTGTGGGGGGGGACAACTCACACTGCGTTTTTTCCCCACAAAGTGTGTTTGTTTCCCCACAGCGTGTGTGTTTTGATGTGTTTTTCCCCACAGTGTGTGCTTTTCCCCCAGACCTCCGACAAGACGACTCCCTGAACAGCCCGTGTAAAGCCCAGCGGGGGGGCCAGGGCCCCCGAAATCAGTGGCCCATTGCGCCCCCCCCACCGTGTAAGTGCGCAAGGCTGCTGAAGGCATCCTGCCACAAGGGTGAACTCGGTTCAATCGCGGCGTTCTCATTTCATTCCGGTGTCTGGGAGCCGCCTTGGCCCCGACGCCATCAAAAAGGGATCCATGACGGGAAGCTGCCCGCAGGGAAGGGCGCGGGAGGACGGAGGTCTGGAGGCGCGGATTGGAAACAGCACGCCGTCGGATGTATGGGTCTGGGCTTGAGCAGTTGAGGCGCTGCCTGATAAACCCAACTCTGGCTTAAGCCTTCACTCGCTGTCTGGTTGGAATCGAAATCATCTGCGACCGCTTGTAGTTACCTCGACTGCCAAAAAGGAGCAGGCTGGTTCAACGGCAGGACGACTTGGTAACCCCAGCTAACACAAGCGAGCCAACGTTCACCCCGAGTGCACTCATACACCAATACACCATGCCCGTCCTGGTGGTCCGTGCATGCGCGCCCCTCTCTGTAGAGCTCGAAGCCAGGGTCTTCGGGCGGCTCGTACGTGCACCTCCCTCCGAAGCAGCCCCTCCCCACGGGAAGTGCATGCACACCAACGCTGGCATCTACTTAAATTCTGGCGGCGAAGGGCAGAAAGGCAATAACCAGCCGCACAGCCATCAACGTTCGAACGTCCGCGCGGATTTCTTGGATCGGCGCTGCCCTCCCTCGCGCGCGGAGCGCGTCAGGGGCGGCGCTGGAGACGCCGCCAGACGGGTTCTGGGGGGAACCAGACGGTACCGATACCGCTGCTCCCCAAACCTTTCCCGGGGTGCGTTCTGACCAGAATTCCGAAGCTAATCCAGCCGTGACGACGCGGGCCTCCCAGGAGGCCCACATAGAAGCCAAACGAGGGAGGGGAAGACATCGGTATCGGTACCTTGTCCTTCTCTGAGGTCCAACGCCGAAGAAATCCGAGGGGACTCTTGAAAGCCGTATACGTTCGACGCCAGCCGCGATCGGAAGGGCAACAGAGGGAGGGGATCGCAAAGCTCTCTGGCCGGGGGGGGGGGCCAGAAAACGACCCAGGACCAGACCTGGCGGGCGCAAGCCCGCATGAACAGCGGCCGCAACGCTCTCTCTGATCGGGAGAAGAAGCTCGCCAATCGACCTGGTAGGCTTAAGTCGGACCTGTCCCCCTACAAGGGGATTTTCAACGAACATGATGGACCCACGAACCCGGAAAGGGATATAGACATGTGGAGCACGGTCACGTTTTCACGATACCCAACTGGGCGACACTTCAAGAAACATCCCACGAGACACCCCGCGAAACATCCACGAGACACCTCACGAAACATTCCACGAGACACCTCACGAAACATTCCACGCGACACCCCGCGAAACATTCCACGAGACACCCCACGAACAGGCAACCACTCAACCACAGCACATCGCGGACGAGGACGACGACGGCATTCCACGAGACACCCCACGAAACATTCCACGGGAGTGCGACTGGGTGTGGTCGTGCTGTGGTGTGGTCGTGCTGGGGTGTGGTCGTGCTGAGGAGTGGTCGTGCTGGGGTGTGGTCGTGCTGGGGTGGTGGTGGGGGGTGGTCGTGCTGGGGGGTGGTCGTGCTGATGGGGTGGCCGTGCTGGGGGGTGGTCGTGCTGGGGCGTGGTCGTGCTGGGGCGTGGTCGTGCTGGGGTGTGGTCGTGCTGTGGTGAGGTCGCGCTGTGGTGAGGTCGTGCTGGGGTGTGGTCGTGCTGGGGTGTGGTCTTGCTGGGGTGGGGTCGTGCTTGGGTGGGGTCGCGCTGTGGTGAGGTCGTGCTGGGGTGTGGTCGTGCTGGGGTGGGCTCGTGCTGGGGCGGGGTCGTGCTGGGGAGTGGTCGTGCTGGGGCGTGGTCGTGCTGGGGTGTGGTCGTGCTTGGGGTGTGGTCGTGCTGGGGTGTGGTCGTGCTGGGGTGTGGTCGTGCTGGGGTGGGGTCGTGCTGGGGTGTGGTCGTGCTGGGGTGTGGTCGTGCTGGGGTGTGGTCGTGCTGGGGTGTGGTCGTGCTGGGGCGTGGTCGTGCTGGGGTGGGGTCGTGCTGGGGCGGGGTCGTGCTGGGGTGTGGTCGTGCTGGGGCATGGTCGTGCTGGGGTGTGGTCGTGCTGAGGCGGCCCGCACCCTGTGATTTATCGATCGGGATTTCAAAAAACAAGCGTTTCGCCTGAGACATCCTCAAATTTTAATCCGCCGGCCTCCTTCGACCTCGATATTTATCAGGGAAAGAATCCGCTGGCCTCCTTCAAGTTGGGCGCGGGGGACTATGTTTACATACTAAAAGAGAACCCTGGGCCTGAGCCCTTTCCGGGAAAAATGAAAAATAACCAATAGTCCAACAATAGTCCAGGGACTATGTTTTTAGTATGTTTTGACCATTTGGGGGAATTTTGGGGGTATTGTTTGGGTATCTTTTATTTTTCGTCGAAAAACCCCCTGTAGGGGGACACCCCCGACATAATGGTAGGCTTGAGGTTCTCCGCGATGGCGCCCGAGACGCCAGGCGCTGGTGTCCCGCGGGCGGCGAGGCGTTGCGCCGACACGTCGCCAGTGGGAGCACGGCGTGCGTCGGCGTCGCCGGGCAGGGCAGAAACAAAAACACACACACACACAAACACAAACACACACACACACACAAAAACAAACACTCACACACGTGGAAGAAAAACAAACACACACACACACACCACACACACAACACACACACACACACACGTGGAGAAAAAGCACACACACAAAACAAACACACACGTGTGCGTGTTTTTCGTGTGCGTTTCCCCCACGTGTGTGTTTTTGTTTCCCACGTCAGGTCGTTGGCGGAGCCCACCAGAGGATGGCGCGAGGGGGGTGGCTTCTGAGAAGGGCGGTGCTTCCAAGAAGGCAGGCGGGGCTTCTAAGAAGCCCGCCCAGCTTCCAAGAGGCATTCGTCGAAGCCTCTGGGGCCTTCCGAGAAGGCCCACGCCTCCGAAGCAGCCCCCCCGCCCTCTTCTGAAGGCAGCCTCCTCGCGCCACGCCCGTGGGCGTGGCGGAAACAGGGAGAACGGATCGAGTCGGGCTGCATCGGCACGGAGTCGAAGTTGAGTCGGGTCCGTGTCGCGCCGAAGCGTGGTCGGTCAGGTCTGGCCGCGCCACACGCCGAGTCAACGTCCCCGACCGTATATGGAGCACGACGCGAACGGACTCAAGACAGAACATGCTGCCTGACGCAACTAAGCATCTCGGATCCATCCAAAAAACGTGATGGATTCCTCCTCCTCCTCCTCCTTCTTCCTCCTCCTCCTCCTCCTTCCCTCATCACCTCCTCACCTCTCCCTCCTCCTCCTCCCTCCTAATCTACTCTACCTCCCTCCTCCTCCTCCTCCTCCTCCTCCTCCCCCCCCCCTGCCCTGATCATCCGGCGCAGAGTTTCGCCCCCTTCGGCCTGCGATTGCTTGAGCCTGCTCCCTGGCCCACGCGCCAGACGGCGTCCAGTCAACACTGCGCGATAAGGATGCGAGCCCCTCGGCTGCCCATGTCGAAGCTTTTGGGGCGGGGCAAGCCGTCGAAAGTGATTCGTGATGGAGCGAAGGGGCAAGGATGCGAGGGCGGCACTCGGGAAGGTAACCGTACCCTTTCTTTCGATTTCGCTTGCATGAGCCCTGTGCGCGGCGAGCGCCAGCCTTCACCGCGCGGGCCGCACCGGAGCGACGCTGCTGGGGGAAGCTCGGCGCCCCCCTATGCTCCTCCTGCTCCTCCTGCTCCGCCCTGGGGAGGGAGACGGTGGAGCGGGGGGGAGACGAGGGAGGGGAAGACGAACGACGACGACGACGACGACGACGACGACGACGACGACGACGACGACGACGACGACGACGACGACGACGACAGCACGGGACAACGACGCCGATTTACCCCCCCAGATGTCTCTCCTGGAGTCCAAGCGCGCGATCTGTCCAGAACCTCTGGGGCGAATCCGGCCATGGTGCCAAGGGCTCTTGCCGAGGCCCCGAAACGGCGAGAAATGTCCGAATCACTTCTCGGGAGAAGGGGACCTCGTCGTCCTCCTCCTCCTCCTCCTCCTCCTCCTCGTCCTCCTCCTCGTCCTCGTCCTCGTCCTCGCCCTCGTCCTCCTCGTCCTCGTCCTCGTCCTCCTCCTCCTCCTCCTTCCTTCGTATCCTAAATTAATGCCTGCTCTTGTGTGTCGACAACATGGAACACAATACTGTGTGAGTTATTTCGGACACGCTCGTCTGCGCGTACGTTGTGCGCACGCTGTCTTACACTAGGGGTACAGTATAGCATAAAAAAAGACGAGCAGGAAGGACGAGAAGGGAGGAGGAGGAGGGAGACGGTTGCTCTAAGCTCCGCCACACATACCACGTCTGTGTGTTACAGCTAAGCCTCCAAACTACCCTCCCTAAGAGACACCCCAGATTCATCATACCTCCTCCTTGGTCATCCTCGCTCCAGGGCTACGCTCACAACATCTCTTCTTGATTCTTCCTCCTCCTCCTCCTCCTCCTCCTCGCTCCTTCACCTCATCATCATAATCCATATCATCATCATCATCAGCGACCATCAACCACCATCATCATCATCATCTCATCATCATCATCATCATCAGCATCAGCATCATCATCATCATCATCATCATCATCATCATCATCATCATCATCATCATCATCATCATCATCATCATCATCATCATAATCATCATCACCATCAGCATCATCATCATCATCATCGTCATCATCGTCATCATCCTCATCCTCATCCTCATTATCATTATCATCATCATCATCATCATCATCATCATCATCATCATCATCATCATCACCATCACCATCACCATCACCATCACCATCACCATCACCATCAAACCCCACCTTGCGGGCGAGTGCAGGTCACAAATCCACGGGGCCCTCGTATACTACTTTTGACTATTTTTGAATATTCCTCCCGAAGAGGGACAGGCCCGACTTCAAAAGAAGCCGTGGGGCACGCCGGACTTTGAGGCAGCTGCCGTTGGCAACCGCTGCGTGCCAGCGCCCGCCGCGACACCGCGCGCGCCCTCTGAGTGCCGGCGCGCGCCACCCCGAGCAGGTCCTCGAGGGGGTGCTGGCGGGCGTCGGCACGCAGGGCTGCTGCGGTGCTGCGATGAGGTCGGACCTGTCCCCCTACAGGCAGGTTTTCGACGAAAAATTCAACATATTCAAAAACATCTGAGAAAACTACGGAGAATAGTCAAAACATCGTCCCCAAACGATTCTCTGAGTATTTTGGGATCTTCCTCCTGTAGAAGGACAGGCCATCTCCGAATTCGGACATATGCTCGCTGCCGGCGCAAGAAGCTGGGGGGCACGCTCGTCGCCGAGACTTGGGCTTCCCGAGGGGCCCGCTGGGGCTCCGGTGGGCCCCCAGGGCCCCATGACGTTTTGGTTTTTCCAAGAAGGGGCGTCCCCAGAAGTCCCGACCCTTCCCCGGAGGCCGGTGCTTCCTCCCGAGTCGTTCTTTGACGGCCCCTGGGCCCCGCGGGGGTCCCCACAGGCCGAAGACCGGCACAAACCTCCCGTCCTCTTTGGTGCTCTTCACGACGTGATCCTGCCTGAGCCTGGGGAACTTCCACGGGGCACCTGCGCGCAAGCTGGTCTCTCATTTCACGCGCCCTGCGTGGCAAGGATGGGGCAGGCAGATGGCCGAAGTGCGCCCGGGGTGCACCGTGACGCCCCTCGTGGCCCCGCTGTCTGTGGGGCTCGCTTGCACGGGAACTTCTGGACGGGCATGGCGGACCGCTGGGCACGGCTCCTCTGGAGCCGTGTGCAGCTGCGTGCCTCCGAGAAGCACTTTCCTAGACACCAGCACGTCGTGAACGAATTGCAGAGGGATGTGTTTGGCAATCTTCGGGCTCCGTGGGCCCTCGGCCCCAGGACCGTCAAAGCACAACTCGGGACAAAACACCGGCCCGGGGGAAAGAGTCGGGACTTCCGGGGACCCCGCATGGGAAAAATCAGGACAGCACGTCTGGATTAGATGACCCGCGTGACATCCCCCTGGCGGTGGACCACTATCAGAGCGGAGCGTGGCTTCCAACCTGGAGTCGGCCGGTGGTCTGAGCTGGATACGCCGAGAGAAAATCCGCCAACGGGGGGCGATGATCGCAAATCCGATCAAAACCAGTCCCCGGCTCCCTTCTGGGGTCGAAACTGACAGGGTGTTCAAGCCGCGTCCAGCCGTGGCGACGAGGCGGCGGCTTCCTTCCACCCTCACTGCTGGCTGGAACCCAGCGCCGGGCCACCTCAGTCCCCCGGCTGGATCCAACTTCCAACTTTCTTGCAACAGCTGGGTTTGGGGTGGGGGTCGCTTGTCCTCGGAGTCGTCTTTGGCGGCGGCGTCGTCGACAACACAATCGGCACCGTTGTCCAGGGCCGTCGCAGTCGAGGTCGGCGACGGCCGTCGCTGTCCCAGAGGTGGGGCCAGGGAGAGGGCGGCTGCAAGGAAGCCCCAGAGACGGGAGATCTGGTTAGGTGAGGCTTTGGGTTGCGCACGTACATCCCCCGCAAGTAGTCCTGGCTGGCCTGAGCAGGCCTCCCGAGCAGTCCCAGTCGGCCTCAACAGGCCCTACAGTATAGTCTGGGGTGATATCAACACCCTGGCGCCGCCTCCGGCGGCGCCTCAGGGGCGCTCCACGCCCTAGGGTTTGGCTGGTGAGATCTCTCCGGGCTACTCGGGGGGCCTGTTGAGGCCAGCTGGGACTGCTCGGGGGGGCCTGCTGAGGCCAGCTGAGACTACCTGGGGGGCTGTCAGCGCGCAGCCCGAAGCCTTACCAGTCAGGCTGGAGGTGGTTCGCGGGACACCAGGGGCGAGAAAAGGGTGAAAGATGGCAGAGCTGGTGACCCTGGGAACCATCTGGACCGCTTTCCTGATGCAAGCACGGGAGGACAAGTGAGAATCATGCTGGTCTTTGAAGGCGTCGGAATCGATCTCCCCGTCGGCCAGGACCGTAGGCAGGGTGGGGGGCAGAAAACGACCAGGGCTGAGACGCGCCCCAGCCAGTGCTTCTTGTTCTGCCCGCGGCGGTCGGAGCCGTCGCCGGGGTCGGCTCGGCGTCAGAAGCCGCCGTCGTCGCAGCCGTGTTCGCCGCGCCGGGCAGCTCGCTGCGAACGCCCCTCCTCCCAGCCGCTCCGCGGAGAAGAGGCAGCCACTGCAGGGAGGGAGGCCGCCCGAGCCAGGGAGGGCGCAGCCTCACCTGCCCCAGCGGCGCCGAGGGCGTCCCGAGGTGGGGGGACCACCGAGCTCCAGGCTCGAAGTGCGGAGCCGATCCCTGGCGCGCCCGCTGTCTGCCCGGACGCGATCACGTCGCCGGAAGAGCAAAAACCCGGCAGGAAGCGTTTGGCAGTTCTCGGGCCCCGGGGTCCCTCGCGGGGCCCGGGGAGAGGCGACTCGGGATGAAAAACCACCGGCCCAGGGGGAAGGGTCGGGACTTCTGGGGGCCCTGCATCGGAAAAGTCAGGACTTCGCGTATCTGGGTGCGGGCCACTGCGGCAGCAAGTTCGCCTCCCCGACTCGATTGGACCCCCCAAGAGGGGCATGGGATGAGGAGGGATTGACAGACAGCGATGTGGTCTCTCGGTGGGGGGGGATTGCCAGGCCCTCCACGCGTGCACCACTACACCGCGGCTATACATCACACCCCGCTTGAGGTCACGAGGGTGGTCACCCCATTCACCCGTCACCGCCCCTCAAAACTACAGGTAAAGGAGATTGCCCGTGCCTCATGAGCAAGCCGTGATGATCCCCCTCCTTCCCCCTGTTCCCCATCCTTCCCCCTCCTCCTCCACCCTCCTTCCCCTTGTCCCTCTCCTCATTCCTCCTCTTCTTCCTCCTCTTCTTCCTCCTCTTCTTCCTCCTCCTCCTCCCACCCCTCCTCTTTCCCTTCGGCAGGTCGGTCGGGCACTTAGGGATAGAGTCTGAATCCCATTCAGCTGATTCAAGAAGGAACAACAAAAAGCAAGACACGAGAAGAGGGAAGGAAGCGACAGCCGCGACAGCTGCGCAGCCTCCTCGTACAAGTGAAACTCCACGATACGATCCCCCACCCCCCACCCACTCACAAGGCCCAGCCATCCCACCACTTGAAAGTATTTCACAACCCTCCTCCTCCTCCTCCTCCTCCTCCTCCTCCTCCTCCTCCTCCTCCTCCTCCTCCTCTCCCAGCGGCACCGCGGATCCCTTTGCCGCGGGCGCTCCTCCTCCTCCTCCTCCCCTCTCCTCCTCCTCCTCCTGCCTCCTACTCCTCCTCCTCCTCCCCTCCTCTCCTCCTCCTCCTCCTCCTCCCTCCTCCTCCTCCTCCCTCTCCTCCTCCCCCTCCCCCTACTTCCGCTCCGCTTGGCCGGGCCGCCAGGCGCAGGCCCTCATAGGCCGGCGAGCCGTGCCCTCCTCCTCCTCCTCCTCCTCCTCCTCCTCCTCCTCCTCCTCCTCCTCCTCCTCCTCGTCCTCCGCCTGGAACAACCTCCCCTGAAGACGCAGACTCTGGGGACGAGACGGCTCAGCACCGCCTCGGGGCTCCTCGACAGGGCCCGCAGTTGGCGGTCGCGTGTGGTCAATTCTTTCTCGCTGTTCTGAAAGCGCGTGTGTCCTCCTCCTCTTCCTCTTCCTCTTCCTCCTCCTCCTCCTCTTCTCTCCTCCTCCTCCTCTCTCCTCCTCCTCTTCCTCCTCCTCCTCCTCTCCTCCTCCTCCTCCTCATCCTCCTGCTCTTCCTCCTCTCTTCTTCCTCCTCTCCTCCTCCTCCTCCTCCGCCTCCTCCTCCTTCTGTTCTCCAGTTCCTCCTCTCCCTCCTCCTCCCTCCTCCTCAGGTCCTCCTCCTCCTCCTCCTTCTCCTCCTCGTCCTCCTCCTCCACCTCGCGACAGCCGTCGATGCCCGCCCCGGGCACGGGCCCTCGCCCTCGCTCTTGGAGCCCTCGGGTGCCACCCAGGGCTCGGCGGCCGCGCCGTCCTGCGCAGGAGGGCGTCCGAATGAACATCCTCCTCTCCTCCTCCTCGGCCTGCCCCGCCATCCTCCTCTTCCCTGTCCTCCTCCTCCTCCTCCTCCTCTCCTCCCTCCTCCTCCTCCTCTTCCCTTTCGTCTACCTCCTCCTCCGCCTCCTCCTCCTTCTCCTCCTCCTCCTCCCACCACCTCCCCCTTCTCCCAACCGCGCCCCCCTCCCCTCCTCCCCCTTCTCCTCCTCCTCCTCGTGGTCGTCGTCGTCGTCCTCCTCCTCCTCCTCCTCCTCCTCCTGCGCCTCCTTCATTCCGTTTTCTTGCCAAAAACTTCTCCCTGTCGAGCCCCGAGGCCGGTCAAAAAGGGCGGACCGGGCCTTTCGCCTGAGACTTCCTCACCATGTATGACACTGAAACTTTACAAGTGGCAACAGTTTCACAACTGGAGGGCAGGTGGTTTTCAACATGTGGCTCCCGCCTCAGCGCCACGCGCATTCGTCTTAAAGATGCACGGGTTTAACCGATTGAGAGCGGGCTGTTTTCAAAATGTGAATTTCGCCTTAGCTCCGCGCGCATTCGTTTGTACAAACACCCAAAAAACGGATTGCGGGCGGTTGGTTTTCAACATGTGGCTTACGCCTCAGCGCCGCGCACATATGTTTAAACATGTCACAGAGCTTCACGGATTCGAGCGTACTAGATATGGCGGTTTGGAAGGATTCAGGATCATGAGGATGCACCAGTTACGATGATTCGCTGAGTTGAAATCCCAAAGATGGTATTCTGGCACGATTCAGGATCGCCAAGACGCAACCGTCGGATTGATCAGTGGCGTTGGAGTCCCGAGAATGGTGTTTTGGCATGCGTCAGAGTCTTCAAACGGTTGTCTCCCATCGAGGCAGTTCCATCAGTGGAAATGAACCTTTAAATGGGCCTAGAAAGAGAGAGCTCGCAGGGAGGGTATATTCCAACACCGTTGATGAGTCTTGCGTTTACACTGGTCCTCTTCCTCCTCCTCCTCCCCATCCTCGCCCTCCTCCTCCTCCTCATTCCTCCTTCTCCTCCTCGTCCTCCTCCTCCTACTCCTCCTCCCAGTTCTCGCATGCTGAAGACCCCGCTGAAGGGACTGACGCTTTCATGCTCTGTGCGGCGGTCAATCGGTTGTTGAAGAGAGATGCGTTCGCTCAGGTTGGGCAGCTAATCACGGTGGCCGAGGGCGGCCAATGGCCTCATGAGAGGCAGCGGAGCACGGGTGTCCCCCAGTGCCCCGGGTGCGGAGCCCCATCCGAGACGCTCTTTCACACAATCTGGGAATGCCAATGCAATCAAGGCGACCCCGCTTATCCCTCGTCCTAGCATGTGTGCGGTGTGCGCAGGCTCGAGCTGAGGCAGAGGCCAACCCAAGCCTGTGGCTCAGGGGACTTCTCCCCAAGAATCACACGTCTCCTGTGCTCAGGGGCGGGAGGACGGCATGGAGCGAGCGGTGGGCGCGGTCGGAGAGAACGGCCAAGGCCAGCTTGATCCTGAGGAGGTCCGCGGCCGAGACGGTTTTCTGCTCGTATGTGGGGACGGACCTGAAAGTCAGTTTTGCAGTGACCCCACGAGGCTTAGGGTAGTGGCCGCTGCTGCTGTCGTTAAGCGTGCCGCGGGAAGCCGGGGGCGTCTCGGGGGGCGTGCCTCGAGCAGACGGTCCCGAGGGCTGATATTCGAGCCCTCGAGCTGGCCCGGCTGGCCCTCGGGCGTTTCCGTGGACCGCTCTGGCAAATACCTGGCCACACGGCTTTGCTAAAAGGCTGGGCTCAGAAGCGCAGCCGTGCCTGCCGAGGTCCCAATGCGGATCTGTGGCTTCGTGTGAGGGGCTCAAGCAGAGGGCAAGGAAATGTGCGGGTCTCGCGGTTTCCCTTCCAAGTCGACGCAAATGGTCGGACCCTCACTGAGCAAGAACAAGGAAGACGGACAGGTACCGATACCGCTACTCCCCAGACCTCTCCCGAGGTGGTGCGCTCTGACCAGGATCTCGACGCGACCCCAGCGGTGGCGACGAGGGCCGCCCAAGAGGCCCCAAAGGGGCAGACCGAGGGAAGGGTTGCGATATGGGTACTGTTTCCTCCTCGTTCTTCTCCTCGTCCCCTCTCCTCTCCCCTCCCCCTCCTCCTCCTCCTCCTCCTCCTCCTCCTCCTCCTCCTCCTCCTCCTCTGACACTTATCCTGCGGCAGCGGCGCCTCGGACATCTTCGCAAGCAGAGCGGCTCAGCTTCATGGGTCTCTCGGAGGGGCGAGGCCGGCAGACGCCGACGCCTGGGACTGCACGGCCGCGCTGGCCAGACCACGGGCTGCTCGGGCCATGGTGGATTCCATCCGTGCTGCCCCGTGACAGGGACAGGCACAGGGCCCGCGTCGTGCACCGCGCGTGTGCTGCCTGGTGGGGCCCAGGCGCCAACAATCCCAGACAGGCGAGACACCGCACACGTGGCATCATCACCGGCCCGGCGCTCACTGGGCGGACGCCAGGGTCGGAGAAATGGGAGTCCGAGACGCGGGACCGCCGGAGCTGCCCCGTGGACCGCGGAACGGCCTCGGGAGAGGCCCGCCACGGGGCCTCTGGGCTCACGGGGGCTCGGCTCTGCAGCCAGACCGTGAGGAGGCAGATGTGGATACGTTCGCCGCTCGGGATGGGGTCCCTTCCTGGTGCGACCCTATCAGGGCAGCAGCTGGCCATTGTCGGAACCCATCGGCGCGACGCCGTGACCAGAACCAGTGGGCGGCGGGACGACGAGGAGGACAGGGGGCACGGCGGAGGCGGCGAGAGAGAAAGACGACGAGGAGGAGGAAGAGGAGGGGAAGGAGGAGGAGGAGGAGAAGGGGGAAAAGGAGGAGGAAGAGGGGGAGGATGGGGGGGGAGGGATGGAAGAGGAAGCAAAGGGAGGAGGAGGAGGAGGACGACGACGAGGATGAGGAGGAGGAAGAGGAGGAGAAGGAGGAGGAGGGCCGCCGCATCCTCGTCCTCCCACCCTCCCCCACTCCTCCCCGCCCTCCTCCTCCTCCTCCTCCTCCCAACTCCTTCCCCCGCCAACACCCTCCCCCTTCCCTTCCCCCCTCACCAGCCTCTCTTCTCTCTTTCTCTCTCTCTCTCTCTCTTGATGTTTATTTCTCTCGCTCTCTCTCTCTCTCTGTCTCTCTCTCTCTGTCTCTCTCCTTCTTTTCCTCTGTCTCTCTGTCTCTCTCTCTCTCTCTCTTTCTCTCTCTCTCTCTCTCGTTCTCTCTCTCTCTCTCTCTCTCTCTCACTATATATATAATGAAATATATGTCATTGCTCCGGCCTTGCAGACGTGCTGCAGCGGATTGTTGCGTGGATTTCTGCGTGGATGTTGTTCCCGAAACGGGGAGCGAAACACGAAATTAATTTCGCGTGGATTGTTTTGGGTCTTCATTCCTGGCCCCAACAAAAACCGCGCGAAATTCACATCGAAATCCAGAACGAGATTCACCAGGACACTCCGGGCCCACCCTATCGTTTTCAGAACGAAATCCGCTCTGGCGCCATGATAGATGTGTTCTCTTTGTTGCATCTCAAGAGGAGGTACAAAAGGCACGGGTACCGCTACTCAGCGGCCCTCTCCTGGGGTGCGTTCTGATCAAGACTTCGAGGCGAATCCAGCCTTGGCGACGAGGCAAGGGTAGCGGTATGGGTACACATTCTCCTCCTATGGATTTCCTCATTCTCCTCCTCGTCCTCCTCCTCCTCCTCCTCCTCCTCCTCCTCCTCCTCCTCCTCCTCCCCGTCCTCCTTCTCCTCCAGCCCTCGTCCGCTGTCGCTCTCTTGCTCGAAGAGGAACTCTGCGGGCGGGAAAAACGCGCACGGCACTCCTCTGGGCACTGCTTCACGTCGCAGAACCCCCACTCCACGGCCGGGTCCACAGTGAAGCACCAAGGCTTCTCCTTCGGGCATGGGGTGCCCTGTCCGTGTCTGCTCCTCCTCTAGCGCGACCTCCTCCTCCTCCTCCTCCTCCTCCTCCTCCTCGTTATCTTCCCCTCCTCCCCCTCTCCTCTTCCTCTTCCTCCTCCTCCTCCTTCTCCTCCTCCTCCGCCTCCTCCTCACGCTGCTCCTGCTAGTCTGCTGCGTATCCTCCTCCCTCCTTCGCAGCGCCACCTCCTCCTCGCCCACCCTCGTCGTCTCCCTCCTCGTCCCCGCCCCTCCTCCTCTTCCTCCTCCCCGCGCTCCCCCTCGGCCACCCCCCGTCGCCCTCGCCCCTCCTGCGTCGTTCCCCCCGCGCGCGCCCGCGACCTCGGGGCGCGGCGGGCTCTCGGGGGAGCCGTGCAGGGAGGGCGAAGGCCGGACGGGGAGGGACGGGGGCGGGGGGGTGAAGAAGGCAGGAGGGCGGGGGAGGAGGAGGCACAAGCTGGAAGGAGGGCGGGGGAGGAGGCGCAAGCTGGAAGGAGGGCGGGGGGAGAAGGCAGGAGGGCGGGGGGGGGAGGAGGGGGGGGGGGAGGAGGCGCAAGCCTGAGTGCGCCGCTGGAGGGCGGATGCCGGCCAGGAGGTCCTGTGAGTCGCGAGGCGGCAGGCCAGCGAGGGGGGGGCTGCCGCGGCAGGCCCCGCCAGCCTCCTCGCCTGGCCGCTGAAGGCCAGGACGCCGTGCGAGGGGGGAGGGGGAGGAGGAGGAGGAGGAGGAGGAGGAGGAGGAGGAGGAGGAGGAGGAGGAGGAGGAGGAGGAGGAGGAGGAGGAGGAGGAGGGGAGAAGGAGGAGGGGGAGCCCCCCCCCCCTCCTCCTCAGGCTCCAGGCACGCGAGGCGCTAGGCAAGTGGAAGGACTGCAATAAGACGTACTCCAACACCACTGGTTTGGGCAAATGGGCCCTCTCACTATTAAGGCAGTATTCGCATGTGCCAACACAAACAGATAAGATGGAGAGCTCTGCCCCGTACACCGGGAAACCAGGCGCGATGTGGCAGAGTGTATTTTGAACAGCGAATGTGCGAGGGAATCGCCTCTCATGGCTTTAATGAGTGCCAGGCCGCCGAAGGCTACAGCGGCGGGACAGAAGTCCATCTGACATTTCAAGGGGCCGTAGTTTTACCAAAATGGCGTACCCCCCCCGCAGAATACTATCAAGAAGAGCTTTTTCGGGCCCCTGCAATCGGCCGGATAATTTGACCTCGGGGTCTGGGGCATCGATTCTTGTATTGAAAGTATCCCATTGGTTTTTCACGTTTAAAACAATCATCACATTGTCTCACACATCCCGGCTTCAATTATCACATTGGTTTGCACATGGAGACGTAAGGAATGCGACGTCAAGAGAGAACGGTACCAACAGAAAGAAGCCTCTCTCGGAGTGCCGGACGGCACGTTCCAAGAGACATTTCGACGGCGCGGCGTCCATTAACCGACTTCCACAAGGTAAGTGGTTCAAGGATCTGGGAAGGGTTTACCTTCTCAGGCGAGACTGCGGACAATGCCTGCTACAACATTCTTGAGAAGCATCGCGCCAGCAGCACAAGTTACAGAGCAGCACGTGGAATCAAATGTTGCGGCCGCTTTGAGCATGATCTCCTGGCAGTTTTGGAACCGTAAGGTGGCACATCGATAGAGTTCTGGGAAGATATGCGGGACCGAAGCGCGTTCTACACCTAAAGTTTGGAAGTCCAAATAAGCGGTGCCACATGCTGGGACGCACGCATTTTCAAGGGTGATGGGTAAAGACGCACAGGCAACTCAGATTTGAAGCCGCGCTTTAACCATACATCTTTAGGCATACCGCTCTCTTTCCGCTCTGCGCGCCCAGCCTCTGTCCATATCGCTTGGCCCCGAAGCCAGACGCCTAGCCGAGCTGCAGCAATTCGACATTGTTCAACGAAGCGCGTCGCATTTTCATCGAACGGCTACGCAGATACAGTGTTCCAAAATTGTATGTTGCACCACCTCGAGTCTCATGTTCCCGCCCTGGGTTGCCCAGCTCCCCCTAAACACGCGCCCGATAAGGGTGGAGCGTTGCATCGCAACCTGTTGCTTGGTTCTTCTTCCGTACCACCCACTGTGGAACCAAGGGGGGATCCAGGGCACAATGCGTGAATTCATAAGGTCCAGCTTGAGCGGTGGATTCACTGCTCACGCACGTCGGAATCAGCAAATGGTCCGTAGCCACAGTGCGAGTTGCATGGAGGCTCGAATCAAAACAGATGCTCGTGAAGCTCGCTCGGTAGTGCCACATGCCCCTGCCACGTTTGGCTCGGAGGTTGGGGGCGGCTGGTGGAACCAACAAAAGCAAGGAACATTGCGCAACGCATGTCTTCGCATTAATCAAACCAGATGACACACATGTCGCCTGATTCTTGCAAGTCATTCGTCGAATTGCAAGAGAGGCGCATCTACAGATACAGATCTATCATTTTGTTTGTTGTTTTCTGTGGCGCGGCCATTTGCGCCGCTCGTGCGAACTTGTCCGTCCTGAGGCTGATGCACCAGCCAGGCTCTATTCCAAGCCCGATGCCCTGCTGCTCGGCAGAGCTATGTCGGATACAGATCCATCATTTTTGAAACACGCTTTTGTTGCGTGCTTCTCCGTATTCGCCGCTTTGGCCCTGGGTGCTCACAAGCTCCTGGATCGGCGACGGCAAGGTCGCTCCCGCAGGCAATTCCTCGGGCAGGGCTTGCGTGCATTGGCAGTGAAGGTGTACTGGGAAACGCCGGGAAGGTTGTCGTGGGAGTGCGGGGGGGTCTGGCCAGATGGAAAGAAGAGCAGGGAGGGGAATAGGAGCGGGACGCGGAAGCTTTTGGGGCAAGGCAGCATGCTCAAACCCGTGTCGTGGTCGCAGTCGTCCCCCTTCTCCTCCCCATCCTCATGTTCCTCCTCCCTCATACCGCCTTCCACATGAGATGATGTGTTCACATCATGGCTGTGTCCGTCGTCACTCCCAACTCCCAAACCATGGTTGTCGTTGTCCTTGTCCACCCTCTCGTCCTCAAGCTCCTCATGTCTGTTTGGCTTCTCCCCCGTTCTCCACGCCGCCTCCTCGCCAATTCAAAAATCATCGTCGGAATTCGTCTCCTTATTTCCCTGAACGCTCTCGACGAGGTGCAGCTGATGGAGACAGCCTCGGGACTCGGAAATTTGGTGGAACACATCCGAAAACTATCGAGACCCTCCCCCGCCCCTCCCTTGAGCCTACGCCCCCCTGATGAGCCTATGGCGGGCAACAACTGGGGGGGGACTGGCATAGGGGGGGGGACACATCGACCTAGAATCGGCGATACGTCGCCGATGATCGGCGATGGGCCCCCAAGAGTGAATCCGCAGCACGTTCCTGGGCAGGCAAGGGCTACTTGGCCCCTATCGGCGCTCAGTGGGCCATCGCCGCATATCGATGACCCTGGGCCTACCCCTGAGCCTATACTTGTGGATGCCATGACAATGGACACTCTAACAATCCTACCATTGAAATAAACATGTGCTTAAACTGAGTATAACATGTTCTGAACATGTTTCAGACATGTTTTTTACATAATTAAAACATGTTTGACAGCTTTCTCGACATCTGGAAATTATTTGGCAACATGTTTTCTCTCTTCATTAATTGACTTCCGCGAGCCTTTACCCCCCTGCGGTCGGGAACTCCTGGGCGGCGTGCCGCGGCGGAGGCCCCGGGGCGACGCGCGGTGCCGTGCTCGGTGCTGGCATGCCGCCCCGCGCCCGCGGGGGGCGGGAGGCTCGGAGGAGACTCCGGACGTCGACGCCTGGGGACCCGGAAACGTCGAGCCCTCTGGACGTCGAGCGCTCTGGAGCGATCTGCGGTCGGGGACTCCTGCTTGTCGGGTCGGGCGAAAGGGAAGGGGGGGACAGCAAAGGGGGGGGTTGAGAATCAGCTCACGTAGCTGATTTTCCTGGCGCCTCCCGGCGCCGGAGGCGGCTATGTATCGAGGAATGGGCCCCTCGGTGGGGCCGAAACCAGCTGCACGCAGCAAATTTCGTAGCCCCCCCTTTCCCAATCCCCCCCTTTCGTCCGGCCCGCTCTTGGGGGCCTGGAAATGGGCACCAGCACCCAAACAGGGGGGTGCCTCCACAGGGGGGAGAGGATCCTGGGTTTCAGTGTCGGTGGTAATATGTCGATCGCCTTGGAAGCCAGAGTATGATCACCATCACCGAGATCGGAATCCTCTTCCCTCGGTGGAGGCACACCGCCGATAGTGGTGTTGGTGTCAACCTCTAGGCCTGCGATGCTTCGCGTGTCGCCACAAATTGGCAGCGAGCGAGGGGGGGAGTGAGAAGGAGAACGCCTTCTCGGAAGGTCCGGAAGTCCCCCAGCCTTCTGCCAAGTTCTCGAAGACTCCCCTGCAGGGACAGGAAGAACTTCTCAGAGGGCGCGAGGGCTTCCGAGAAGTCCCGCCGTCTTCTAAGAGGGCTTTCTCCCTCTCACTTCCCCCCCTCGCTCGCCGCCGGCCAGGGCGGCCCCAGCGACACGCTGTGCCATGCTCGGCGACAGCGCGTCGCCCCGCGCCGCGGGGCGGGAGGCTCGGAAAGGCCAGGGGCGTCGGCAACAGGGGACCCGGGAGTGGGTGGCGAGTCGCGCCGAAGCGTGGTGGACCAGAACTGGCCGAGCGGCGCGCGATCCAAGAGTTCCCGACCGTACAGTGCTCCTCGAGCAGGATCTTCCCACTTACCCACCCGAGGCCTCTTGGGCGCTCTCGGGGCCGCTTGGTGGCCTCTGGGGCCATGTTGGGCCGCTGGAGAGCCGAACGTGAGCGAACGCCCAAATGCTTCAAACACCTACGGCAAATCCATGAGTTTGGCCTCTTGGGGCCGTCCTGGAGGTCCTCTCGGAGGCTTCTTGGGGCCGTCTGGGAGGCCTCTTGGCCCCCCTGACGTTCAGAGAGACGTAAGACTCGGGTACGGGGGGCTCGGGTTGGCCCGACGGGGCCATCATGAAAATGACGAGGCCTAACCCGAAATTCGGCGCGGGCTCCCGCTACAGACCTCCCACGAAAAAACTGGACCGCCCAAATCCACGACTCGCTCGTCGAAAAGCAGAGGCGAACCCGAATTCTGTCTTACTCGAAGCTTACAGAGCCGTTTGTAATACATGATCCGCGTGCGGATCATGTGTTAGAAACGCAGGGATTTAGGATGAAAAACAACGACGAGTTCATGCATACATTCATTCAAACATTAATCACGTATTAAAAGTCCTATATTTCTAAACATCCCATGTCTTAAAAACTGCCCTGTACGTTCCGCCGAGACACCGCTGCTGATCTCGGGCGCCCCCGGCTGTCGTGACGCTGGAGGTCTGGGACTGTAGGCCCTCGGGCGGCCGCGGCGCGTCCGGTCCTTCTCGCCCGACGGGTTCCGGCAGTACTGGTGGTTGCCGATGCCCTGGGAGGGGGAGGGGGAGGTCCTTCGATGGAGAGATGGGAGGAGAGTCGGGAGGAGGAAGAGGAGGAGGAGGAGGAGGAAGAGGAGGAGGAAGAAGAGGAGGAAGAGGAATAGGAGGAGGAGGGCAGGAGGAGGAGGAGGAGGAGGAAGAGGCCCTGGGGAGAAGGAGGAAGAGGAGGAGGATGAGACGACCGAAGCAAGGCTGGTCTCCCTGTATATCGTTCCACATGATTCACATACGACCCCCGAAGGGAATCCGAAGAGGAGGAGGAGGAGGAGGAGGCGGCCGCGGCGATACGGTGTCGGGCCGAGGGCCGAAAGTCGCGATACTCTGCCTAGAAACATACTCCAACAACCTGCGGAGGCGTGCGACCTACCGTGGGACTGAGAAGCCGAAGCGTAGATGGTCACCCCCAGCAGGGAAGCCCCGAGCTGTCCTCGCGCAGCCTAGAGGCACCAGCAACCGAGCAAGCAATAGTTAACCATAGGACCCGTGACAGTGCGACCTATGACGCGCAGCAGAAAGCTGAACCGCGGTGGCCTCAGAAGGCAGGCGGCCTCCTCTTTGGCCACTCCTGCAGGAGGCGCGGCCTCCTCGTTCTTCGCCCCCATGACAAGAAGTCAACTTCCGCCCCTGCGAGATCGACGCGATGCCCTGCAGGGGGCGACGCCCCCTGAACACGACAAGACCGCTCGCACATGCAACATATGGCTCGCGCAGGCAGGGCACGCAGAGGCCCAGCGGCCGCCCCGTGCGGCGATGGCCTCTCGGGCACCGGCGGCGCTGCCCGTCCGCAGCAGCAAGCCCGCTCGGAGCTCGGGGGCTCCCCCCTGAGCTCTGAGCTCCGCTCTGCGAGAGCGTTCGCTCCTCCTCCTCCTCCTCCTCCTCCTCCTCCTTCTCTTCCTCCTCGTCGTCGTCGTCCTCCTCCTCCTCCTCCTCCTCCTCCTCCTCCTCCTCCTCCTCCTCCGCCTCCTCCTCCTCCCATCCTCCCATCCTCCCATCCTCCCATCCTCCCACTCCCACGCCCTCTTGGCTTGGCCCGGGGTCTACAAACGAAAACCTTCCAAAAGAGGCTCGTCTGTGCAATGTGTAAGCGCCGGCACTCTCACCTCCGAAACAGGGCCCCATACCTCAAGAGAACCCCCCTTCCAAAACTCCGCGGGCCTAGAACTCGAGGTATCGAACGCTGTTCGATAACGCCGCGAGCACAGGGGGTCGACTTTGAGGTATTCGATTCCCACATCTGGCAGGCCCCTGAAAATGAATTGGCGACGCGCGGACGGGCTCACGCGCAGGCGGCCTCACCCGCTGCGCCTCTGGAAGCCCTCCCCCAGGTTGCAAACTCAATGGGTCCGCCGGCACTACCTCCTGGCAGAAGACGCGCGCCGGCGGCGCCACGACGCCACAGTCCGATGAATCCGAACCAGAGCACGCCAGCGCCGTCAAGACACTCACTTGGCGTTGCCCAGATGGCTCCGATGTGGGACGCGCCAGCGCCGTTACGACATGTGGCCGGTTCGTTTCCATCGGATCTGAAGCCGAACACGATGATGTCGGGATGTGTTGTAAGCCTGCAGGACGGGATGACAACGAAACCCCGCCATGCAAAGACGATGCCACTGATTGTGAAGATGGTGCACGGCATGCCGAATCCAAGGATGATAACACAATTGCTGTAGATGCGACCTCTAACATGGAGCCCACTGCCTCCGTAGCACACGATGATGCCGTCGCCCGCCATGGCACACCTACTTCCCCTCCGGACGCGCCAAAAGCTTGGCCGCGCCCCTCCCCAAGGCTCCACCCACTCGGAGCCGCGCCGTACTCGCGCACGGCAACGATGTGGGTCATGTACGCGATCCTCGAGCGGATGTGGCTGGCGTCCACGGCCACCGTCAGGCGCAAACCTGGCTGGCTACCGAATGCACGTCGGACGGCCCTTCGACTCAACCGGGAGGAAGGATTACAGGGATTACACCTTCGCGTAGCGAAAATTGGGTTCTCTACTCGAGACCCTGCTCGAAGCTCAATTAGACTTTGGGAAACAAGTCGCGACCTATCCGATCAAGATAATCACGACGCGCCTTAGAAACGGGAAGACTGCACGGACTACCGAGACCCCTTGGCTG